GTTGTCTTGCCTGCTGCGTCATGCTTGCTTGTGTTTGATTACGGTGAATTTGGAGGTACCAGATCCTGACAAACGGAACCACGGCCGCTGGGTTTGCTGTTGGATTTTGATGATTTGGTTGATGGAGGTTTCATTTGTTCATGTGCTCCATTGTGCTCCTGCTTTTTGTTCATTTGATTCAACGTGAGGAACCTGACTAATCTGACTAGGAGGAAACCAACATGCCTGGGCTTCCAAGTGCAGAAGTGGTCGAGACAGGCTGAAGATGCTCCAAGTGATGCCAGGCACAGCCGAGACGTCAACGAAAGGTGAGCTTCCGTGGGGTGTTTAGACAACGCATTTTATCATTTGTGTGACTTTTCCTGGGCGTATACTGATGTATACTGTATACTGTAGTCAAGTCATTTGTTGATGATTGAGCATGGATCAGGAAACAACATCCACACAAAGACCACCACTTCTGACTATCTGGCTCTGTAGAAGCCAGCTGTTTGGGGCTCCCAATGTGAGACTCATTTCCGGGAAAAAGCACTTCCAACAGTACAGAGGTCCTTGATTTTTCACTTCTCCCAATTCTTTCAACACTCGGCCAGATATGCCCAGACTTCGGATTTGTTTGTCCAGCCACCCCACGAATCAACGAGTATAAACATCGTAAGAGCAGGCTTTAATTTTTGGACTCTCGAGCTCAGCGAGTGCAGGATTTGCTGCATGCCTAGTTTCTTCGTTGCATCTGAGCTTCTGCGCGGGTTCATGGGTATTCCAATATCATGACGCAGCAAAGGAAAGGACCCTGTGATGAGGCAAGCTTTGTGGATGCCGCTCCTTGCAGCAATTGCGCTCCCACAAAGAAAACTTGTGCGACATGTTGCATCTTCCAGACACTCCAGACTGGAAGAGCCTTATATGAGCCTTATATCTTCCCAAACAAATGGCGTGTATTGTTTCCGGTCTATCGCCAGTCCGTCGAATCCTCCTGGTCCGACCGCGCTCCGATCGCGTCGCGGCGGGACACGCACAGGAAGACGGCGGTTCGCGAAGCGCTGGAGCGCAGACGACCGGAGGGCGGGGCGTTTCTACGATGTGTTTTTGGCGGGTTTTGCCGAAAACAGAAGCTGGTGAATTGGGGAGTTGGCTTTGAACTGCCTTGCTGGGGAGAGCCAAGAACTGATGGAAGACATCCACGACTTGCGATCACAGACTTTACGGGGCTTCCCCCAATATGGGGCAGGTTGTGAGCAGGATATCAAGAAGCTCAGCTTCTCTGAAGAGACCCCGGATGCACTTGGGGCGGGCGGAACAGGAGAATGTGTCAAACCCATTTAAACACCTATGATAGCATAAAACTAGTACTCAAGATCACCTGATATTTGAAGACAGTACCAATCCCAGAGAATCCAGGTCATCTGCATTGGGTCAGTTTAAGCCAATTCCCCAATCCAAATGGATGCGGCTGGACAGGCAGCCGGCCAGTCCAGCCGCCTCCATACGATGGGCAGATGCAGGCGCTGACGCTCCGCCCGGGTTGATGATGGTGATTGAGCTTACTGTATTGTTTGGGTTTCTTCATGTTTCTTCCATCAACTGTCACCCGCTAAAGACTGGGGCTAGCACGAGCACGAGCACTGATAATATGTGTGACTTTCGAGTGATGAGTCCATGCAAAGGCCAAGATCCTGAGCAAATTGATGCGCAACATGTTTTTGTTTTTCATGTTTTCTTTTTGACACATGCTGGGTTTATTCAATAAAACAGATTCCACGTTCCTGAACCTGTGTGACAATGTGACACATTGTTTAAAGATGAAACTTAAGTTGCGTTCACACACACAATTCTTTGAGGTTGCCACATTAAGTTGCGTGCACACTGAGATTGTTGCTCGCAAGAGCTAGTATCAGTACGAAGTTCCCCTTGACTTGAAGAAACTGAATGGCGCACGAACCGAAAGGCAAGGAAGTCCGGAAAGTTGAAGGTGTTTAACAATTTGTTTCAGTGCACTAGCCGCTTACTGCAGGAAACAACGCATTGGACAGCTTGTGAACAGTTTGGAAAATGCAGGTACGTGACTCCGGCGTCCCAGAGTCATGTCACATCCGATCAGCAGCGTCTTTGTTAGGCAGTGACTGCTGAAAGGACCACTGCCCCCCTGCCTCTTTTTTGCGTTGAGAGACTGTAAGTTAGTAGCGATACCAGGAGCCCTTAGTAGCAAAACCAGGGGCCCTAGTAGCGTTCTTTATGACTCAAAACCTTGGACACAGGTGTGGACACACACAATTCTTTGAGGTTGCCACACTGGCGTGTGCCTTCGCCAGTGGACGGTTGGGGATTGCAAGTGCTGACGTTTTAGATGGCAGTGGGGTGTCTAAGCGAGCGCAGTACCCCTAAACCATTGAGTGTTGTACGTTTGCTTCCCAAATGAGGCTGTTTGTTACAAGAATGTACAGTATTTCTATTTGGTATAAAACCTATGTTTGTGGAATTGTATTCTGTCAAACCCACCTAACCAGAAACTCCGACAAAAACATATAGTTGAGAAATGATCAACGGAACTTCGAAGTTGTTTGTCACATGAGTTTATTGCTAGGATAATGTTTCTGTGACAAGCACCAAGATCCTGTGAGATTCTCCAGTGGCATGGTCCAGAGGTTCAAAACATGTTTCCAATGCTTATAAAAAAATTCATGTTGTGTCTTATCTTGGTCCAAACTCCCAGAAAGCTTTTGAGATAAACAAACTTGGCCCCTGATGTATCACAAATATCTTCTCTTTGGTGAAGCAAAAGGCGCTTGTCTTCTAGTAGCTTCTTGTTACTAGTAGTAATGCCAGGAGCTAGTAATAGGGATGCCCTTTGTTACTAGTACCGATGCCGTTTGTTGGAAACACCGAAGTCGATTTACCCAGAAGACCTCTTCGCAGGTTCGCCTGCGAAAAAGACCTCTTCCGCGGCCTTCAAGGCGTTTGGTGCTGCGCGTTTTCGAACCTATATACAGAAACCACTATATAGTGTGAAAGGGGTGTTGCAAAATTGCGAACAATTGAATCCGTTTGGTCATTTCGGCAAAATATGTTCACTGATTCGTTTGGAAAACGTCCCTGGCAACCATCACCCCATTCACCCTCTACCCTGACTGGATTGCACCGAATATTGTTTGATCTTGAGTGTATTTTATCTTCAATTGGAAGGACCCCCAATCAAAACCATATCTTTTCTGTAGAACCTCGGGTTTTCGTGCGTCGTGGATGCCGTGGATGCTGCGTGATCCCGATCCGTGCCTGACCATTGGCTTCGACCCACGAATGCCGAGGCCAAGCGCAGACGCCTTCGGCACGCGCGGAGACCACGCGCCAAACGGCTCACTTCCGTCGTCGGGCTCACGGAACGCACGGCGCCCGACAGGCCAAGCGTGCAGCCCACTATGATGAGTTCCGCGTCTTGCAGGTGGAGCATCTTCCGACGGAGCTTGGGCTGTGGAGGTTCTTCAACTTGACAGAAAGGGTTTTCTTCGCTAGTTAAGGGTTTCCAGTGTCCGCTTGCTAGTAATAGGGAGGTGTTGTTTAGCAGGACCTCAGAACAAAGGTTGTGGACGGTGACAACATGGGACAACTATATCCAAAGACATGTTGTTTGGAAATTGCTGAAATTGCATGAAATTGCTGAGTTTTGTCTTCCATCCACTGTGGATGGTAACATATCAGACTGCAGACTCAGGAGTTGGGTATCAAAAGATGCAGATCACCGGAACTGGCAGCGACAAAAAGAGCCTTTGGGAGTACACCCTGGAAAGTTAACATATGCAACCTGAAAAACCACTGGATTGTAGATGTTTGGATCGTCTTCCAGTCTGGTCCATGCCGTTTCCATGTGGGTCTTACGACCCAGGTGTACGTATTGTGGTCGAGCAAAGATCCGAATCTCGGCTGAGCTAAGCTGCATTCAGCGAGGAATCACCGTCGTTTTTTAGGGATGTTTGGTTGAGCTGGTAGGCCAACCTACCTGACTGTCATCCTACTCAGGAGACCAAGTTCATTCAACATCATGAATATACCCCAAAAAGGTACTGTAAGGTAAGGTATCAATCATTCAACCATATTGGACCTACTCAAAGATGGATGATGTGAAAAACCTGAATCATCCGGTTGAAAAGGTCGTCCGATGGACAAATTCACCTCGTCCGGCCTCCTGGTCAGATCGATCTGCCTTTTCAGCTCAGGAATCGTCCCCAGGAATCGGCACCAAAGCCCATGTGAGCTGATTTGTTGTAATCGATTGGATTTATATGGGAGTCGTTCTAAAACCAATGTGATGTTTTTTGGGGGAACCATAATTTTGAACAACCCCCCATATGATTTATGGTTGACCTGTGATAGTTTTGTTTAACAGCAAAACATGAGGCAGTCCTTTGATCGGCCCCCCTTCAGATGGATCAAAAAAAGCGCCTGCTAACGTGTGCGCTCGACTAAGACGCCACTGGACTCTTCATTCGGGGACTCTTCACCGAGCGGTCGCCATCGGTCGCCAGTTTCGCGAGCGGGAGGCCATGCGGCAACGATCCGCGAATGGGAAAAGCTCCGAGAGTGAGGAGTCCAGTGCGAAATGAGGCGAAAAGAGCTCCGACCATCATCTGGTGAGGCGAAAAGCTTGTGTAGAGACCGGGAAATGAGAGGCTGAGGTGATGGATGTGGACAAAAGTGTAAGTGTAAGACCATGTAAGACCTAAGGACTCCAAGCACCTAGAGTCTAGAGGTTTTGGAGATTGGTTCCATGTGCCAGAGACATCCAGAGACCCGATTTTCAATCATAGTCGTTTGAAGCGCATGATCTTTTTAGTAAACAAAACACATTGTTTTGAAGATTATGCGGTTGGAGGAGTTGCACAAGGGTCAATGTTTGTAGGATCTCAAACAATCACTGGTTACTATGTTTCTTTCTGTCCAAATGATTAGGCTGTTCCAACATGTTCCAACAACATGTTCTGTGGATGCTGTAGTGGTTTTAATGCTGGGTGTCCGGAACAACACCCTCCAAAGTCTGCTTGAGACACTGGGAAACACCAAGAGGTCAAGCTACTGACATGCAAAACAGACCAAACGGCTTCCTTTTTACAATTAGGAATCCAAGAGCTTGAAGCAACTTTTTGCACTAGTGGAGGCCTTTTATTTGACCACTTTTGACAGAGTTATGTACTTGGAACTAATGGTCATGTAGAGATTGTTTCGATTGAAATTTTGGGGATTGGTCCCTTTTCTGGTGCGTCAGCAGAAGATGTGTATGTGCCTTACACCTCACCATTGGTTATGAGTGCAGAGGCTCAACTTGTTTGACTCATGTGTTTCACCCAAAAAGCGTTTGTGTTTGACAAGAGGACTACCTGAGGTCCAACCCCCATTTCATACAGACCGTTTGTTTGCTTTATTCGGAACATTCCTGGGTGCTTAGGTTTTTGCTCTAGTTGCACATGCCTGCTTTTGGTCGGTGTTTTGGTTGATATACACTGCTTTATAGTTGTATATAACTATATAATGGTGTATATATATATATATATGTGCATTATAGTTTTTTTTGAAAGGGCAGCCCGGACATCCACCCTTAATTTGCAGTGGAATTTTTGGGTTTCACCTATTGGTTGTATGTTAAAACATAATGCTGAAGTAGGTGAAACTTGGAGCTTTGAGCTGGCTTTCCTTGGGCCCACGGAAGTCTACTGACTGGGTACATGGCTAGCTAAGTCCAGCTAAGTCAAAGGTAGACTTACAAGTACTTAGTAGTGACCTTTGCTTGGACATAGCTAAGGTGGACTCAGCTTGGACCTACTAAGTTTGAGCTAGTCCAGGCCAAGTCTAAGCTACGTCCCAGCTGAGTGATCTGACAGTTTTCTTTTTGATTTTTCACGGGACTATGTCAGTATTTGGAGTGTTTTGCGAAGATTTTGGAATGTTAAACTTTGAAAAGAACTTAAAACCATGTTTTACAGCTGAAAGGGGGTATCATATGTATATATATATATATGTATGTGATATGCATGTTTGCATGTGTACTACGTATGCTTCAATCTCCGTTATGTATGGAGGTATTCGTACCTACGCCTACCTAGGTGTAGGTATGATCAAAGATGCCTCGGACTCTTAAGAGCAATCTTTGATCATACGTATAGAAGGCCGATGTGACAAAAGATAGGAAGTATAAGAAGGACATTAAGCGAGGCAAGTGCATGCTTTGGGAGCAGGGGTGTGGAATGCCTGTCCGTGGACAGTCGTCCACCTAGATAACGTCAGCCCTGCACTAGCAGTGAAAAGCGCCCTGGCCCCGGAGCAATACACAGCGGACTGGACACCCCTGGCGACCAAGCACTTACAGTAGCCAATCGGAAGATTGTGTTGCACACGGACTCAGCCAAGAGCTACAAGACCAAGGTTCCAGCAATTGTGCACGATTCCATCGTCCATTGCACAACGAAGAAAGTTATCAAGGGCAAGGTCACATGGTCGCCTCCTCAATATCTCCGCGTGGTCACTCATAAGCTTCCAGGACAGCACACCTTGAAAGTGAAAGCAGGGACACAGCACATAGATCGGGCATGGTGGTTCCTCAAGGAAAGGATCTTCCGAAATCATTATGTACTCGATAAAACAATTCGCATGCAGATCCGTGCCGCCCAGTACGAATACTGAAACTCACGGCCAGGACATGTGGTCCAAAACATGCGACTTAGACTTGGTCAAAGAGACTATGTATACCATATCTTCAAAATGAAGTGATTGTTCTGCGACTTGGTCAGAGGGACTGTGTTGCCATATCCTCAAAAGAAGTGATTGCTCTGATTGGTCATCTGGGGCTGTCCAAAAAGATCTTCCGTTTCTTGCGCGTATCCATCTCATGCATTGGAATGCATCCATGCCTTCATGGTCTTGTGTTTGTGTGCCATTTGGCAGCCTGGCAAAAGGTTCATGTTTTGATTGACCATGCTGTATGCTTTGTCTATCCTTATCACATCCTATCATCATGTCCTGTTTGCTCGCACCATATCTAACATATGCTACATGACATGGTCTAGCATGGGGGGCTGTATATATATATATATTCATAGAAGGTTAGAGACTTAAAGCACGGGTGACTTATAGCGTGCTTACTAGGTTCCAAGTCGAAGTTCGTGATGTATGGAGTAAGTAGCTACCAAATAACCTGGGGCTGTTGGTTTGTCTGGCATTGAGGTGACATCGCTCAATCTCCGTTTGAATCTCCACAGGCCGTTGAAAAGGACCGATTTGGATTCCTTCACAGAAATCGTTTGGCCCGCTTTCGTTGCTGCATTGCTCAAGACGAAGATGCGCCATTGCGTCGCTGGGTTTCTCCGCAGAAGGACTGACCTTGAAACGACAACCTCTAAGAGTCCACCATCATGCATGTTTTTGAGTTGTAGTATTACCAACATTTACCAACATCAACCCCTTTGAACCACGATGTATGTGTTTCGGTTGTAATGATGGCCAGTACTAAAATCAAAACCTCCGGCACAACCTGCCTTTCAGCGAACGAAACAGATGATCAACGCCGAAATCCGCTCCGAAGGTGCTGAGGCGTTGTGTCGAGCTGCGGGTGCCTTTTTTGTGCCAGAGCGTGAGTTTTGAACATGGAAAACATCATATTGTGTGTAGGATTGTCCGTATGGCTTCGGAGACACACGTTCGCGCTGCCGGTTGTGCAGCCCGGGGGAGTCTGCATTATTGACATTGTGGGTGTGTTCGTCCGTGTGTCTGGCCCGACCGAGAGATACAGACAGACAGACCGATACAAGAAAGACAGACAGACCGAGACAGACAGAGCGAGACAGATAGACTGAGACAGATATATAGACCGAGACAGACAGACCGAGGTTTTTTCTTGTTCAGACTTACTCTTGGTACTCTTAGGCGTTCATACCTAGGTGGGCCTGTGGCATGTGGCATTCAGTTCAGGATGCATTTCCTAAGTGTGTCTCTCCTAGCCAGAGCCCAGGGTGTACTCGAGGAGTGTCCCCTGTGGCCCCTTCGAGCGGGGCTTGTCTAACGCTTCCATTGCCCGGAAACAGAGCAGCTCGCAGCGAGCGTAGGAGGCTTACGCCAAAGTTATTTGCCAAGATTTGATGAATTATTGAGTACAAGTAGGGAACCTTCGGGCACGCCATGAGGTGACCATAGCGGTCTGAGCAGCCAGCCTTTTGGCAGTGCGTACGTGGCCGCAGCGGCCGTAGATCTCTCAAGACCCGCGACCTTAAATGCACACACAGCGCGTACACTCCAAGCCAGGCAGGTCTTCCTAGAACGCTTTAGTGGGGTCTGGCTTCGTTGGTTCCCGGCCCCTCCATTTGGTTCCCCTTTTCATCCTACCCCGTTCACATACACTTTCTTTCCTCCTTTTGTTTCATGTCTTTCCCTGCTTCATGTCCTGTCATCTCATTCCTTTCTTTCTCTTGCGTGCACAACGGCCTGGCCGTTGGCAAGTGCGCGCACAACTTACTTTCAACGCAGGTTTTGACAATGAGGTTTGGTTCATTGGTTGTCCCTGTGCGAATGGTTTCCCCTTCATCGCGTCGTAGATAGCTGTTGGGGGGGGAAATAGGTAGCAGCTACGAACACGGTGTATCCGCGCGGGCGGCTTCGACCGCGAAGCAGTGTGAATAGATCAATAGCGGTGGAGTGGAGAGTCCACGCGAAGTTCTTCATGAAGGACAGGCACAACTTTTTGTCAGCACCACACATGGGAAACTCCGACAGCCATGCAGCCTTCGCCGATGGAGTCAGGTGTCTCCGAAAGGGATTGGGCGCATTTTTACTGCGCAAGTATGAGCACAGATAAATTTTCCCATGAAATGCACAGACGAGTTCAACCCGGTTTGTGTTGGTGACTATTCTTGGCATGTGGGGTAGATCCCTCCGCATGTTTAATTTGTGTTTTCTACGGTGCGTGAACGGAATGTTCCTATAGCATCTAGGCAGTTGGTTGTGACACAAAAACGTCCAGGAAATGCATTGAAAAACCAAACTGTTTGCAACAAACCATTGCACTCCAGATAGTAGTGTTTGTGCCAAGTGCAGCTACATGAACCATGCTAACTGCGGAATTATGTCTTCAGAACTCGTTTGGTTCCATATCAACCTCGGGAAGGTCTACTACATCCCAAATGCAAAAACTCATTGAGGCTCCTCGTACAGCATGCATGCTGACTTCAGTAATTTCGCCAACAATTCCAAAAAACTAGCATCGTCCAGTTCAAGCGGCCATTGGGCATGTTGCAAGGCCCTTTTTTGTAGCTAGCCAGCAAGCAGAACTTGAAGTGTTCTATACCTTCACTTCGTGGAGATCCCACAAGTGAGTTTGTTTGGGTAGTGTCGCTTATAAATCATAACCGTACATTTTGGGTAGCCAGCAGGATATCACCTTGGGTGACCAATTTTTTTCTAACATGTTTTTCTTTTGAATCAGGCAGTTATGATCCTTTTCCAATCTTGAACAACAACCGTGATCCACAGACCAGATGTGATTGATTCAGTGCTACACGGAAATCAGGCAACCAGGACAAAATGTATACCTCTATTGTTTGGTCAAATTCCCTGGTTAAGG